ATTCTGCTTTAACTGTCGAGACGCAATCGAGCTCCTTTCATTCAAACCCTGCATAAAAGCTTGTACTGCCTAGTCATCCGAGACCGGTGGTAACTCTATTCGCTCCATCTGGAACTTGGACACGAACTCCCTCAACATCTCATCGTTCCTTTATTTTATCTTGAAGACGTCCGATTTTCTCGTGGCCACCTTTATGGCCCCGGCGTGTGCTTTCACGAAGGCGTCTGCTAACATAGCAAATAAATTAATAGAATTAGGAGGTAAGTTGTGATACCAAATCATAGCTCCTTTCGACAATGTTCCTCCAAACTTTTTCAATAAGACTGATTTGATCTCATCGTCATTCAAGTCATTTCCTTTGATCCCGCAAGTGTATGAGGTAATATGCTCGTTAGGGTCGGTTGTCCCGTTATATTTGGGTATATCGGGCATGCAAAACTTTTTAGGAATAGGCATCGGAGCCGAGCTCTAAGGAATGGTTTTTGTATGAATTTTTTGGCATCTAATCCTTTCAAAACTGGAGGTGCTCCCAGTATTTGGTCAACACGGGAGTTATAAGTTTCCACCTTTTTGTCATTGTCTTCAATCTTCTTTTCTCCGTACTCGATCCTCTTGGTGAGCTCTTCGAGCATCCTCATAACTGTGGGGTCAGTCCCTGAGTCATTTCCGTTGACCTCTCTGGCGCTGGTTCAGCACGTCAAGTGTTTTCATGTTCAACTACACTCAGAGTCTTATTTTGACTTTGAAGTTGAGCAATGGCGATCTGTTGAGCTTGCAGCATCTCGAATATCACTTGGAGGCTGATTCCCCCATCACCCACTCCTTGTGTTCCTTGGCCACCAGATCGAGCTTCCCTGCGTACACTCCCTCCGGGGTCTGTGCCTAAATCCGCATTTAGAGCAATGTGTGAACTAACATCAACTGGTTCTATATTTGGCGCTTCCCCAGGGTTTATTGGTGGTACACCGACCCCTATATTGTTGTTTTCTCCAAGACCTTCGTTGTCATGAACAGGTGCATTTTGTGAGCTAGACATGTTTCAGCCAGAGAATCAAAGATTCTTGGCAAGAAAAACTGTAAAAATAACGTGTGTAATGAGAATCAGTAATGAAATAACCACTATTATCTTTAGCCCCACGGTGGGCGTTAAACTGTTTACCTCGAAAATACGAGTAACAATTAAATTTGATTTGTGGTTTTAAAGATATGTGATTTAGTTCAATACTAATTGATAATCAAGAAATATGAAGTTAGACCAAAAAAAAAAAGAAAATATGAAGTAGAAATGAAAGAAATAAGTGAATCAAACCAATGTACTTAGCAGTAGTGACCTCGAGCTTAGTGACCTCGAGATGAACCAAGAACAATAAAATAAGAACAGTAAAGAGAAAGGACAATTCCGATTAACAGTAAGCGAAAAGTAGAGAGTATATTCTTTGCCAATGATTAGATGGATTTTACAAATGATTGGGGTCCCCTTTATATAATAATGGAACCCTAAATAAGGTACATTTCTATTTGCAGTAAGGAATATTATTGGTACAACTGTCTAACCGCCTAGTACGGAATCGTACAATCCTATTTCGAGATTTGCGCCATGATCTTGTGGAAGTGGCAGGAATCTAGCCCATTCTGTTACAAATCCATAACGGTACAATTTCGGGGTCGAGCATACTTAACTTCGGTATTCCCCGCATTCTTATCTTCGGGCATTGCATTCCATCCTCGAGCTCGAGTCTAGTCTGTCGACCTCGAACTTGAGCTTACTTGAACTCGGACCTAAGGGGATCCCTCGAACCTGAGAAATTGGGCGTGCCTGATTTCGACGGTATACAAGAATAAAACATATGAACCAATTATGTTAGAAACCTTGTATTTATGATCATGTTAACTAGTAAAACTTAATTCAAGGATGTTGATACGTCTCACCTCAATAAATTTACACCTTGTGAAACGTATTGACTAATCTACATGCTACTCAATTACTTTTCTTTTATAAACCTTACACGACATGAAATTTAAATTAGACATCCACAATAGTCCACGTTGATGCTGGCCGGGTCCAAGCATTCGTCACAAATTTCAGGCAATTTGCAATACGTACCGCCAACTCTCTAATAGGAGTCCAGAATAGTCCACGTTGATGAATGATGCCCAACATTATAAAACATATGTGCATTATCCTTTGGCGTGCCCAAGCAACCTCAAAGTAGTGGATTTTGTAAATTGCAAATACATTTCTCCAAAAACGACACTCAGAATCTGACTTTAACAAATGAACAAAGAAAAAAAGTAAGAACTTCATTATATTACTAAGTTTAAAAATTACATTTCTAGATATATAAAATACTACTTCCGTCCCAATTTATATGGTACCATTCGAATATCTAGATATATATATACAGAATTTTTTTTTTATAATTTGTAGTATCAAATAAACCTTAAATAAGTTAAATAATTATTTTTCAATATAGAAAAGTGATACTCCCTACGTTTCAATTTATATGACACGCTTTCCTTACTAGTCTTTTAAAAAAAGAATGACACATTTCAATATTTAAAAATAATTTAACTTTAAGCTTTTTATTTGACCCACTTTATCCTTAATGATAAGCTTTTATAACCACACAAATATTATGACCCCCACAAAGCTTTTACCCCTTAAGCATTTAGGTCCATATGTTTTAAAAGTATTCTTTTTTTTTTTCTTACAACTTGTTTGGATGGTTGTTATGTATCATTTCATAATGTATTGTACAATATTGTATTGTATTGTACTATATTGTTTGATGTATATAATATTTGGATAGACTTGTTTGTTTTGTTGTCGTTTTATAATGTCATGCAACAACAATATGAAGAAAAAACTTGTAATATTATAAAAGAAGTAAGATACGAGGTAGAAGTATTGTATAAAAAGGTAGGGTAACAACAACAAACCCAGTGTAATCCAACAAGTGGGGTCTGGGAGGGTAGTGTGTACGCAGACCTTACCCCTACTTTGTGAAGGTAGAGAGACTATTTCCGATAGACTCTCTGCTAAAGAAACACTAAACAAGAAGCGACCAAAAGTAATAACACAAGAAAAATAATAAAAACAATATATGTAACAAAGATCTAAAAATAAGAAATATAAGAATGCTACTAACAATACTAGTAAGAATGACAATATGGAATAACAAAGGAGGAACACAAAAATATAAGAATAATACTAATACTACTGATGCGATTATGAGAAACTCTCGACTACCTATCAACTTATGATTCTAATTCTCGACTTCCACACCTTCCTATCGAGGATCATGTCCTTGGTAAGCTGAAGCAATGACATATCCTTCCTAATCACCTCTCCCCAATACTTATTTGGCCTACCTGTACCCTTCCTCAGACCGACCATGGTCAACCTCTCACACCTCCTAACCGTGGCATTGATGTCTCTCCTCATCGCGTGCCCGAACCATCTCAATCTTGATTCCCGCAATTTATCTTCCACAGGGGCCACTCCAATCTTGTCCCAAATAACTTCATTCATAATCTTATCTTTCCTGGTATGCCCACACATCCACCTCAACATCCTCATTTCGGCTACTCTCATATTCTGGAGATGGAATTGTTATTACATTGTATTTGTAAAATAAATTATGGAAATATAAATGAATATAAACAGTAATGAATATAAACAGAAATGACATAAACCAATTCGAGCCCACTGAATTCACAGTGTTTCCTTAAGGAATTTAATCCCCTCCTAGTACCCAAGGTTATCGATTATTTCCTCCCAGGATAGAATGAATTACACACTGGTGTAGTGGTACTTCAAACCCCAGTGTTTCAGCGAACACAAAGTTCGGTAGCAAATCACACTTACTTTTTGCTTTGTTTTGATGCTAAAAGTATGCAGAAGAAGGAGAGGAAACTCAGAAAATTGTAGTTAAAATTCTGAGCAGAATAGTGTTGTATTTATAGCCAAAGTTGGGTCTCTTCAGAATGGCTGTTTATGCAAAACGCCCACAACATAAATGCCATTACATAAATGGCCATTTACTCAATAATAAAGAGGGAAAATAAAGAGGAAAAATTGAAGAGGGTAGTTACTTTTCTGTTACCAAAACAGAAAAACGGATTGAATTTAATATTAATATTTTGTTATTAAACCAAATATTTAATAACATTTCTGTTAATATTTTACTATTAACAAATAAATTTGGTCCAAAAAGTTAATCAATCAATCGATCATTTGACCGAATCCGAAGCCGAAGCCGAAGCCGAAGCCGAAGCCGAAGCCGAAGCCGAAGCCGAAGCCGAAGCCGAGCCGAGCGACGACGACGGCGCGAGGCTTGCCTTCTTCTCAACTCTTTAAGAGCTAGAAGAAGAGCAATTGCTTATATACCCATAAAAAACCTCTTCCTCTTCCAATATGGGACAATGCCCATTTGCCAAGGGAGGGGGAACTTAAAATTTCACTCAAAAATTTCATTTCCCTCCATTTCCCATTCACCCTCTTTTAAGTATTTAATATATTAATTAAATACCTTAAAAACCCAACAGGAATTTCTTGACTGGTAACACTCAGCACCATACAACATAGTCGGTCTAACTATCGCTCTGTAGTTTTTGTACTTAAGTCTTGGTGGCACATTCTTATCACACAAAACACCATATGCGAGCCTCTATTTCATCCACCCGCTCCAATACGATGTGTAACATCCTTATCAATCTCCCCTTTACCTTGGATAACAGACCCAAGATGAGAGAAAAAAATAAGGTAACGATGCGACCACACCAAATCGATTATTCTATAAAGTAACATTTTTTGTCATTACGTAACGACGTATTTAACGATACGATACAATAAAATATATATAACAATCAAAATAAATATTACATTAAATTTTGTGTCAAGTCAAACTACGTCGTCTAAATTGAGACGAATGGAGCACTACTTGTGTTGGGACAGGCTAAAAATGAATCCAAAAACCAAAACAAAAGGAGTAAAGAGAGAACGGGTACAAGTGGTTAATTGTGAAGCGGTTGTAGACTTTGTAGTTAGAGAATCATCTCTAGACAAATGCTTTGAATTGGTCTTTGTGTCATCCATTAAACAAAATATACTAAACAAATAAATACTATAGAAGCTTATCTTGATGGGTTCTCAGATTCTCAAAATCTCACCTTTTGCTTCTTCTTCAATTTTCAACGCCAGCCCATTCTTGAGATTCCAAGCCAAAACGGTAGTCACCATTTCTAAGACCCAATTCAGGTCAAATCCCCTCATTTCCTCATCTGGGTTTGTTCCTTCAAGTGATAATAAGAGAGGTTTGAGAGGTGGGGTTGTTGCTATGGCTTCTGCAACAGGAGGGTCCGTTCAGAAATCAGAGGAGGAGTGGCGTGCTATTCTCTCCCCTGAGCAGTTCCGTATTCTCAGACAGAAAGGCACTGAGTATGTTGTTTCTTCTCTCCCTCTAACATAATCATTGGTTGCAACAGTTTGAATTCGTACTGTATGCACTCTAATGTTGAATATTTAAAGAATTAATCTTATTTATATCCCAGCAATCCCACTAGTTTAAAACTTGGTGGATAATGGACCCATCCCTGTACCTTACTTAAATACCAAACCAATAGCAGCATTTTGTGTTGAAACTCGTGATGTGCCCCTAATCCACACATCATATGCTACCCTTTTACTACTAGACCACCAAATCTCGGGGGAAAATTCTGAAGAATAATCTTAAGATATGTGTATCAAGGGAGCCTTGGCGTAACTATAACTACTAAAGTTGCTGCCATGTTAATATACCTTATGGTCCGGCACTTCCCAGACCCCGCGCATAGCGGGAGCTTAGTGCACCGGACGGCTTTTTTATTAATCTTAAGATATGTGTATATATAGTATAAATTATGAGGTACATCCATTACCTTTACATCATGCCTTTGTTAATCTTGTGGGGTAATTAGGAATATTCTAGTGGTTTTTATGGTGTTACTGATTTTCTTATTAGTATAATTTTTTTTGGGTAAATAAAGATTTTATTACCAGGGAAATGTATGTACAACACAAAAACCCCTAAAGATCTGTTCACAAGCCCAGACCTATAGTATAATTTTGCTTTCATTTTATTGTCATATAAGCTATAAAAAATATCTAGTTTAGTTTCTTTACTTGAATTTATTGGTTGATGACAAAAATAGCAGTTATTGCTGTTAGTCCAAACTTATGGCCTATGACTAGATGTGTAATGTTCAACAAATTTAGGTCTAAGTTTACTCTCTTCGTGTGGAGGGTCATGGACGGTCATTTTAGGCGATTGTTACCAAATTCATGGCCTAATTTACATGCCGAGTTTTGTTTTTCCTTTGTCGTCGATTCAAGTTTTCTGGAGCTGCTGTTCTTATTTAAGCAATGCTTGTTATTTCAAGTTTACTTCCTAGCTTGTAAACTGATCATTGACCTGTTTTAGGCTTTTATACCTCCCAGAATTGTTGTGCTGTTTTAAGTCGCTAGAGATCTTGATGAGATTCTGCAGCTTTGTGACCCCACTCAGTATAATCTATGACCTCCACTGAACAGTATGAAACTCAGTTCTAATATTTGTGTAAGGTCAGTGAGAAATTGTGTAACTTGACCAAGTTTAATGAAGGATAGAATGCAGTTATGCAAGTTTATGGAGTTACTTTCTGAATTCACCCGATCTTTTGTTGGAATGGCAAGAAATGTTGAAAATGTCGGATTTTTAATGAGATTTACCAAAAGGAATTGCTTTTTAATCTTGATAAGAAAACTGAATTTCTTCTGAAATGAATGTTTGTAGTGAGAGTCATTTTCACTCAAAGAACTCTAGATGCATTCCCCTTATATTAGGGGTCACATAATCAATTGCAAAGGGTTCTTCATACGGTTTTTGCTTTCCTTGGTTATTTGTTCTGTCCCTATCTCTTTCTTTTTCCTTTGATTTTTTTTTTTTTTTAGGGGGGGGTGGGGGGGGGGTGGGGGGGTGGAGGTGCGATGTATATTGCAGTTTAATGGTGCTTACTAGACTGCTTTAGTTCCCTTCAAGATTTATACACCAGTTTGGCATGAGGATTAACACAATTTTGTGATTCTTGACGTTTAACTGTTTCATATGTTACCTTTGAAGTGGACACCATTACATATTCTGGAGATTGCCGATGTCTGACATGCAGCAGTCAGCCACAATCTATGCACAAGGACATAGCTCCTAGTTGTAGAAGGCTTGTTATCTAAGTTTATCACTTTTGAGTATGCATATTATAGGCTAATTTGTAGAATCTCATCTTTCTAGTTGGATTTAATGCAAGATTGGAGCTTCTTCAAGGAGAGTTGCTTGAATTTGTTCTCGTCGTGGATAGTGTAGACTCACCATGCCGGCTTATAAAATTCGTCATCAAGCTTGTGATTCAATATATTCTATATCTTCTATTTGAGTCCTATAAAATTCGTCATCAAGCTTGTGATTTAATATATTCTGTATCTTCTACTTTAGACTCAAATATTCAACAAGGAAATATAACGTAGTTGAATGACCGTGATGCTTATTAATTGATTAAGCTAACAATTTACCATATGGGATTACTTCACAGGTATCCAGGTACTGGGGAGTATGACAAGTTTTATGGTGAAGGAATCTACCAATGTGCAGGATGCGGCACTCCTCTCTACAAGTCCACAACAAAATTCAACTCAGGCTGTGGTTGGCCAGCTTTCTTTGAGGGTCTTCCGGGAGCTATTAATCGCACTGTGAGCTTCCTTCTCTTTCTCCTGGCCAGATAAATATGATTTTCTAAAATCTTTAGACAATAATGCTCATTATCTGGGGACATAGCTATTGTTTTTGGGGGAAGGGTCATCACTCCCCCTTAACTTCTGGGATAGAATATAGAGTATCTATAAGAGGTTACATTATATGAATGCCCTCCCTACCTGGGGAGCAAAAGTAGAGCCTATCCTTATATTTAGGGAGGTCTACGTCCCTATGCTGCTACCTTCTTTTGACTTCCTTTCGCTATGTTCCATGTTTCTTTTTCTTCCTTTCCTTTCCAAAGCATGCTGGTGATAACTGTGTGTCATTCCTGAAGCTATTTGGTGGAGTAGTTATTTTTTCGAATTTGACCACAAAAACACCAACAACGCCTTTAAATAATGACAAAGTAAAGGCTCCATGAAATCTTAGTCCTTTTACTCTTTTCTAGTTTGAACCTTTTTCATTTATATTTGTTTTAATTGCACTCCCCCCTCCCCCCAAACCCTTTAAAAAAACTGCTTAGTTTTTCTCATCTGTGATTTTATGCTATTCATATTTTTCGAAAAACATCAGAAATACAGAAGGTATTCCCGTTGATTTTTCTTGAATGTTTTTAGTCATGAGATTGCTTGTTCAATGTATTTATGTTGTATGTGTCCTAAGCAATTTTTCTAGAATTGATGTTGGGCACTGTCTAATGTTTGGATACTTTTCAGGCTGACCCCGATGGCAGGAGGATCGAGATTACTTGTGCAGCTTGTGGTGGCCACCTTGGTCATGTTTTCAAGGGTGAGGGGTTCCCTACTCCAACAGATGAGCGCCATTGTGTCAATAGTATTTCCCTCAAGTTTTCACCAGCAAATTCCTAATCCATCGCACCGAGGATGTTATGGTTATCACAGCTTTATTTCTCTCACGCATAGTTAGGTTATATAGATGCTACATTAACTACTGATGACAGTGTTGTGTTTTCCAAATAAAAGTTACTTTTAGTCTTGCACTCTCTGGGAATTGATACTTAACCTTTTGTAAATTAGCTTCAAAAACTGGGGGAGTTTGATATAAATATTTCATGAGTTTGATATAACTGCTGATGGCAGCATTTTAGGCATGGAATGCTGCTCATATGTCAAGTGCAAGTCCTCTCTTCTAAGTAAGGGTAGAGCCTGACTATTAGAGTTCCATGGATGTGAATGGTTTGAGTGTCACCATCATAGGACTCTTCCCCAGTATATGCAACTCCATCCATCGCTTGTATACAAAGTGTTCTGAGAAGCTTTAATAGTAGATCAGAAGCAGTTTCAGAAAGCCCCAATCTGGAAAGTTGATTCTGGATATGCTCTGATACATAGTTTTTTGAGTTTAAAATGTGGCTAAAGCATTCGAGAGTTATTTCCAAGACTTTGCCATCAGCCCACCGGTAACCTTCTCAATGAACTATTAACTTTCTATGAATTACCACATATGAAGTGGGTGCCTTTGTCAGTTTCAAATTGTGCTCTTTATTCCCACTTCCCATTGGAAGTCCCTACAACCCAACTTGTTTCTTGCCTTTGGATCGAATATCTCTTACTTCTGATGTTCCCCGGGCTCCTTATACCCAATCCACCCCTCAAAGGTAAGAGAATTGACTTCTAAAGTTTGGAAGCAAGCGAAGTTTCCTGAAGCAGCAGGTGAGCGGGTCAGTCATTTATGTCAAGATCCGTATGTGGGAGCTTCTGGATTGACTGTTTGAGAGATCTAGGTTTCTCAGACATATCAAAGCTCTAGTATATTCATGCATTTTTTTGATGCATTCACTCAAATCCAGGACTCTGGGGGTATATAAAGTTTACAGGTAGAATGAAGGAATATATCTGCTACTTCTAGGAAACAAGAATATGAGTGTTCATGGATATGCCTAAGGTGAATGAAGCTGGATCGAAAATTACAAAGGACTATCAAGTGATGAACATGTACTAGGTTATCTTGGGCAAAATTCTCACCCGAAGAAGCTGCCCGCAGTTCCTGCAAGATCATGTAGAGTCATGTTCTTGGATAGTGGTGTTAGTACCATCAAATATCTTGACTTCTTGAATGGATGATAAGCAGAGTCATTGAGATATTGGCTGCAACTGTGATCTGTTCCTCTCTTGACATGATATCAAGTCTCCACCACAGAAATTCTAAAACGAACAACGCAGACCTTCCTTTGGTACTTGTTCATATACAATCAAGGGTACATTTCTTGAGTTCTCCAAAACCCAAACTGACTGAGTTTCTTATCTATAATGCCAACTATAAGATCACTCACCTCAATAACCTAAAGATGTGATCATCTTGATCGCATAAAAAGGAGTCCGATGCACAAAGCATCCTGCGTTGAGGTTCATGGAAGGACCGCACCCCCTGTGATCTAGGTAGCTTACTTTAGCGCAAGCATTAGCAGTCGCTCCCACAGTTCGATCATCTTGATTGCATGCCCCCAATAAGTTGCACGTATAAGTTAACTCAAAAAAGCATAGCCTTTTGCATTACTCAGAGAATATAAACATAAAATAAGTGTTAATCAACAAAAAAATAACAACAACTCGGTGAAAATCCCACAAATAAAAGAAGTCTTAATCTCATAAATATTGTACCAGCGATTATAAATAAGATCAACTATTAATACCTAAGTTTACCTGCTAGGACATAAATGCTGCTCAATAATGGCATATATTCTACACCTGAATCAACTAGACAGCTTCCTCACTGTACAGGTCATTATGTACCAATCCAGCTTCTGAGTTAGTCCCAATTGCTCATTTATCGGCCACATACAATGATATCCTATGTTCAACCGTTTGGTGTAAGAGTATTCTCTTTTGTATAGGACACCTTTGCTAATCCGATAGATGAATGTGGTTGTGTCACACATTCCATATCTAAATATTTCTCACATTGACTTGGTGTAATACTAATGAAATATTTTTCACTTGTCAAAAGAATTACTGTAAAACATTTTCAGCTCTGCTTCAGTCAACAAGATTCAGGGATCAGGAGTTCAGTACACAAAGAGAGTCCAGGCTTGATACCCATTAGTCAATGCAAATCCATGGAAGTACCAATCTCCAATAGTACTCTCAGAGTCATTTTTACCAATAGTAGTGCTAAGATTTGGCTATGAAAGTGAATCGTTTTCTTCAGAAAACAGCTCATCATTAGTGAGCTTCAGGTTATGAATGCTTCTTCCAGCTTCAGGAAAGATCAGATGCAACTCCACAGATCACAATGGAATCTCACTCATTGTCTGATTTCATGGTGGATTAAGCTACCACACTATGTAACCTGTTACGACTGCAGCTAATGGAATCATGCGACACCCAGGAAGCTTGCAAAAAATCTCTTGTAATTTTGTAACCAAGAAACATTGATACTTCTTGATTTATGCAATTAGAGGTCGAAGATCAATTAAGCTATATCTGTATCTTTTTCGTCATATAGCTTTAAAAGTCAAATTCGTGCAGAGATACGTACAGATGAAAAAGCAGTATCTTTTTATACTGAGTGAATCTTATGAACTCATTTCCACCTCACAAATGAGGAGAGAGTAAAAGAATTACTAGGGTTTCAACATCCAGTTCAGTTTACAGCAAAAAAACTAGCTGTTCAAGCATTATCAATCCGCATCTACACAAGTGAAAGGTCACCAGCAGGGATAGATCTCTTAACAAGCTTTGCCCAAGACTCGTTGGTTTCCGTAATAATCTTAAGTGCATAATCCTGTGATTGCAAAGGAATTAGATAATCAGCAGGATCATGCAAAGAAAGCAGAACAGGCAATTCTAACTATGAAATGCCAAGAAGCACAGGCTTGCTTAAGTGGACAAAGTTTTCTAATCTCCTTTGTTTTACGTTCTTTTGGGGGCATTGGGAGATAAAATGCATGCAAATAATAAATACCATTATTCTTCACCCGCTCATGTCATTATGTGCTAAACTGATTCACTCTTACAGGAAAACACATACAAGATATTATATAATCATTCACTGCGAAAGAGGGACGAAAAGAATTTATCTTCACATAGAATAACTGAGAAGTGATCCCCAAATGTGGAGGTCAAAATTTTGCTTAGCACCAACAACCATTAAAAACTTAAGATCGGTCTCTTTGAATGCATATAATCTCAACACAGTAATAGATATGCAGAAAGTCAGAAACAAGGATCTTTAACAGACAGTAACAAATTTGCCAATATTTCATCAGTATGAAGAAATCAACATAATAATGTTCAAGAGGGTACCTTGTTAGCTGGCTTGTTTCCAAGTCCAAACTTGTTAGCAGGCTTTCCGTCAGGAATCTTATAGTCTCTAAACCAGTCTCTGATAGCTGTCAGAGTGCCCTGAAAATTTCAGAGGATCAGTTTGAGATATTCACAAGTTGAAAGAATAGAAGATCTCAGTATATATACACACACACATATATATATTAGATTATTATGCAAAGTACTGATTTAGCTCATTAATAGCTACCTTAGTCATGACTTGAAATAACCATTTTGAACCTACACTGTTAAATGCTATAACAGTGTTGGCTTTCTAAAGGCATTGAAGCATTACTTGAGTACAGTATAGAACAGGTTAGCCTCTTTTTTGCAGTTAATGTTCAAGAGAATTTGGTCAATCCAAATGAGATAGCAAAAGAAAATCGAGGAACCTAACTCAGCACTTAAAGTGGAAATCTTTTCAGTAAGTGTCCTTAAGAACCACAGCAAGCTTTGATAAATCAGAAGTATTCATTAATACCACACCAAACAGAGTGGAAAAATATGTACAAGACATGGATGCGACTCAACCCCAATTATCTGCCCAACCATCTATATATCATTGACCTTTTAATACCACAGTCGAGAACCTCCAAAGTTTCATTCCACGTAACTGATTTGATCCAGTAAGAATTACTAATTGCGGGTATTGATGCACTAAACATTGGAAGCAATGCAGTTCAGTAAAGGTCATCAAAAAGGTATGGAACACTTGTTTGACCAAAAAGTATAAGGCCTTTTTGTTAAACTAATTAAATAAGAAGATAGAGGGTAAATCCTAGTTAAGGATAATTAATTCTAGATCTGAGATGGGTAACAAGAATAGAAAAATATAGTTGAGTACAAATGTTGGCAGTAGTTATGGCTGGATCTGATATATGAAAAAGACCATGCATTAGATAACATTAAATGGCAATAAAATATAAATAAAGGAGAAGATTCACCCAATCTTGAGTGAGGCGGATCCTCTTTCATTTGATAAGGATGAATGATAGACAAATACAAGAATCTTAGGACCCTTTTCGGATCTGATGGGGAGTGTGGGATAACAGATCATCTAATCTCTTTAGAGAGATGTGTTTTTATTAGATAGAGGGTCTGCGATGTGTTTTTATTTTTTTCTAGAGATAGAGGGTCTGCCTTTTTTTTTTAGAGAAGTCCCCCTCCTTTGTTTCCTCTCCCTTCCTATTTATAAGGGATATCCTTAGAAAACCCAAAAAAAGTACAATTAGAGGGAATATTCAGTAGAATAATCCCTTTGAGGAATCCAAAGTAAAACTAGCCATTACTTCTATCTGTACTGCTCGACCTCGGCCTTGTTGATGATCACTGCTCGACCTCGGCCTTATCGATCACTGCTCGACCTCGGCCTTATTGGTCAATGCTCGACCTCGGCCTTATTGATCACTGCTCGACCTCGGCCAGACAGCTCAATTCGATTCGCAGGTTACTCATGACAATTGTCTCCACATGTCGAATTTCTCTGATCTGATTTTGACCCATACAACACTAATATCATAGAAGTTAAGGATCTGGGTAGAGGAAACATGTATAGGACTAGGATAGACTTTGAGAAGTGCATGTAGTTACTTCAAGTAAGAAGACGAAGCAGCCACACTTAAATGCAACAGAAACTCCGCAATGAGGATTTCTCCTCATGCAATTTGAATGGATCATCAAAAGCAATGGGGCCGTTTTTTGCATGATTACTGCAATGTTTGTGGAAATAACAGAAAGCCTTGAGGATCTTGTTGTAGAGACCAAATTTCTTACCTTTTCCGAGTGATATATGGTATGGATACTTGGCATGCTCTGTTATTCTCTTATTTTAATAAGGAGGCTACTGATTTGCCTATAATAGCCAATAAATAATAGAAAGGAAGGGTTGGTGTCCATCTTCATCTGTACTACTCCAGTTGTTTGTGCAACTTAAATGGTGGAACTTCACATAAGGACTGGTGACTGTTACTTAGACAAAGTAGGCCTCCTTCAAGCAAAAGTTCATTTGGGAGCAGAAATTGGCGATGAACGGTTAGTGTTTTGCTGGGAAAGATTTGTCTACCAGCAGTTATAAGAGGAGCTTTGCCTGGATAACTTTGACCATTGTCTACTTGCTTTAAATCCTCATTCCAACAAAGCATGTTGCTAATTTCTGAAACCAACAAGGTCTGCATAAATGTTACTTCTTTCTATTATTTCTATTGCTGTTCTTAGGCAATGATCATTGACCAACTTTTCAGAACTTCTACTCACTGGTTCCAATTGAAGAAGTAAATTATGGATAATTAACTAAACCAAAGAACACAGCCATAAACATATAAAGGTGAAAAATTCACAAAGAGAAATATCTTTAACAGGACACATATGCACAAAAAAGAGAGTGCCAGACAATGATGATGCATGAAGATTTATAAAATCATCCGCAGTCTGAGAGTAAAGAAGAGTGAAAAAAATAAGAGCCTTATTGCATTCAAAGCATACCGGAAAATGTTTCTCCACATCATCAATATCATTGACAAGTGACGCTCGGGGATCATCTAGGGAAATAGCAACTATTTTCCAGTCAAGTTCTCCTTCATCAATCATTGCCAAAGCAGCTAAAGGTTTGACCTTCAAGACCTGGCCAATTTTAGCACGGCTTTCCCCAATCTCGACAACATCAACTACATACAAATTAGTCATCAAGAAAGTTAATCAGCTAAGCCATCTTCTAACTTGTTTGTTGCCTTTTTGATGGATGGTTAGAAGAAAGCTTGTTTAACAATTTATGAGTGATGGAAATATACCAGGGTCATTATCTCCAAATGCCCCCTCAACTTCAGCATTTGCAAATGAAGGGTCTTCCCAGGTTTGAGGAAGCAATCCATAGTTCCAATGAATATTATATCTGAGAATGGTACAAAGACGCGCATCAAATCAAACAAGGAACCAACACAACATCATGAATTTAGTAACTTCATGCAACTATCACAACCGATTATGGGCGAAAAGCTATTAGCTTTATCAGCCAAAGATTGATGATCGAGATGTGTCTGTCAATGTTTAACAATAAGCATTAGACAACAGACTAAACCCTATTGGTCCTCAGCAGTTAACTCATGTAGCACAAGGCCACAGGGAAACTGATGGGCCAAATAGACTAGTCCACAGGACACAACAAGATAGTAACAGATCATACTAAAAGTAAGTTGGGAAATAGTGCCACAGAATGGTCTTACGGGTAGTATCTAAGTTTCCCCTTCTTTGTGTCTTGTTTAATTGGTGTGTACAGCTCATCCGTAGCAACTTCCATCTTTGCACTCGATTCTTTAGGAATTTCAGCAATAAAATTGAAAACACCATCACCTAAATGCAGTGGTATGTCATGCCAAGGGGACACCTGCAGATCACATGAATGTGAAAACAATGACTAGAACTAATATGCTCATGTGGACTATAGAGTTCAAACTTATGTTGACAAGTGAAAGTTAACAAAAATGAAGAACATTCAGAACAAAATACATTAAAAGAAATAAATAGGGCAGCCCAGTGCACGAAGCACAACCTACCCTAATGCAAGCATTAGTGGCTGCTTCCACGTCTCAAATCCGTGACCAAATTGGTCATGCAAAGATAACTTTATCGTTGCTTCAAGACTCCTCTTCAAATATGTTGTAAGAAATAATAGTAAAATTATTATGTGACTTCATTCTTTTTCCTTCTTTTAATGGATTTCGTTTGTTGCTTCCTCTTCTCTGTAATCGAGACAATATGCAAAAGGCTTAACTTTTATAAACTGATAGCGTAAAGAACTTTTACTATAGCCATCTTGTAGGTGTGAATCGATAATTTGGAAAATCGCTGCTACAACAGATTAAAGTACACCAACATATAACTTCCCTGCACTGTCAGTATATAACTTAAATCCATGTGCAAAAACTTCAATATTTCACATGAACAAGAATGATAGAACAAAGCTCCAAATTAAGCATTCAATCCGTGAAATTGTTTTTAAAAAAAATCATTTCTACTCTCTCCAAGTCTCAACATAAGTAGGACGCAACAAGACACGACTTTTAAAATTCTCAATTCCTCTTTTTTGGAAGTAAACTCGATATTACAAAATGAATAATATTCCAATAGAGTTATAACTATATCTACCGAGATAACAATTCAACGTCCAATTGAACGAAATGAATGCAGATTCATATACAGTAAACTCTAACTAGTTCGGCATTGACATATCTAACTGATTAATTAATTGATTTTTGGGGTAAGCAGAGGGAAGTATTCACCTTTTTGCCAGAATCATCAACGAAAAAGACACGATAATCTAAAGTTTCGGGCTGGCCTTGTTCTTTGATTTGAATCTGAGGATTGTAAATAGCAGTGCAAGTGAAAAGTCGGCTCCTGTGTGCAGCAGCAAGCCCATTGCGGAAACAAAGGTTGAAACTATTGGGCTTTTGGAGAGGAATTTTGGATATAAGAGAAGTTGTTAGAGTGTTGTTGGCTGATGCCATAACTCTTGCAGCCGCCATTGTTGCTTTTGCTGCTGTTTACGGTGAAGAGAAATGGAGAACTGAATATCACTGATTTAACTGCACCACAGGCTTGGAATAAATTTATACCAACACTTTCTCTTTGTCTCTTTCTTTTTTTGGAAAACAAAATCATTCAAAATCTTTTTCAAAAAATAAACACACAACAAAACTATTCAACAGTTAATATATATACATAAAAAAAAAAAATTTATATACATAGTATAATTCCGCCAGTTAAGGGGAGTAAACCCTCTTTCCCCACTCTAGCTTCGCTCATGTTCAAAATGTATGATATTGTTTTATTCTTATATAAGTTTCATACAGATTTCAATCTAATTCACCTAAGAAATTTTAATGTAATTTTTCTATTTTATCAATATAGTTTTAAATTTTTCAATTTTTTTCTTCCACGTTCAGTAATTCAAATAAAGAATCATAATTATATTTTTTAGTCAAATGCTCAAATATTATCAGTATATCTCATAAAAACAAAAATTCAATTTTATATTCACAACTTACTACAAATACCATCATATGAAATGCAAAAAAGTGACTATTTGTTATCACTCCACATTTAATATTCACATTGTAGTACCACTAGTTTCTGCCTTTCTTGTATATTCTTTTTTTTATCATTTTCCATTAATGCAAAATGGAAATTAGTGGTAACACATCATAAAGAATTTGACCCAAAAAGTAGGAAACAAATCATAAATAAGACTGTTATTATAATGGTAACAAAATAAAAGAGATACGTAACTGATTTTGGAATCATAAAAATCGGAGCCCAATGAGATAAAATATTGTCAATCTGTTGTAATAAATACTTACCTTAATCTACGCTTCTAAAAAAAATCCTTATGTTACTACAAAATACAAATCGACGCACTAGAAATTGCAAATTGCATAAGAGGAATAGTTTTTTTCAAAATTAGGGTGATAAATTAGCTTATGTTATACTAAATAATTTTTTCAGAAGATTTAAATTATTTATTATCACTTTGATTTTAGTAGTATATTTACTCGCTCGATAATGGGAAGAATTGTTTCTACCTCCTTAGGGAACTGAGCAGGACTTACTTCTCTTCTATCTCTGGACTAACTATCAAAGAACTTTTTATTTCGAGGTGTAACTCTCAGTTAGCACTAATTAACTCATTTTGCCTTTAGATCCAACTTTTTATGTGCGCGAGGTCACTCCCATTTACTAATTTTTTACAAGTTCTGTAGAGAGCAATTCAATATAAAGAGATAAAAGAAATTTAATTTTTCCTATGGCGAGGGACTTTTGATCACAAAAAAATCTCTTGACTTTACATTACCAAGTAATACTTATACCTTAACAGAAAGTAAGACAGAAAGAGCTGGAGCTTGAGAATAGCCTTAAACAAAGGTCGGCAGACGAGAATTCCAGCTCAGTCTGCCTGTGGCACTCTTGCTGTAGCTGTACGTGATATTGCAATTTTATCTCAAATGCAAGCAAAAGAATGTAATGAATTTTTCTGGTGTTGTTTGGATTTCCAGATTACTTGATCGTGCCCTACATCGACCTCTAGACGCACTGGTTTATAGGGGTGAATTGGGTGCTCGACTATAAGGCCACTAAAGCAATCGCTTGGGACCGCTCCAACTTTTTGGGGGCCATTTTTTCCTTAAAGATGTATTGTATATATATTATTAAAAAAATATGTGTACATTGAAGCATTAGTTATTGTTGTTCGGAATTCCAATTCCGAGTCCTCGGAAAAATCTTTCCACCCCAAATTAAGAAGAGAACAAAAAAAGTTAAGTGGCAGAAACTACATTCATTCCTACTAAATGAACCTAAACTATTCACAAAAGGCTCTAGACAAGCAGCTGGATGCCACATCAAACTACTACTTTACACTATCTAAGACAAACCTTACATAACGCATTTTTACCAATACAATCCCTATTCAAACATAGCGTTTTTTGAATAAGAAGTGTCTCTTGGACAAATCCTTGGGCTTGCTCTTTGTCTGGACAAATCCTCCAGGTTTCTTCTGGCCTCCATTATATTCCATATAAATCATTCCTTTGGCTCCTGAATAAGTGCTCATTGATCCCACACTGCGATTTGCTCTACGAAGCGCTTTGCCATCTGTATCTTCTTCTTCTATTTCCTCCAACCCAACCATATCTTCGCCGGCACTTAGTACCTTCCCAAGAAGCCCAAGCTGCTCCTCAACATGGTAATAACTCAACTCAGGTCCTGAATCCGGCGGAGGCAAACTTGTGATCACCTTAAAGCTATAACCTTGATCAATCAAGAATTGCTGTCTCTTTGTTGAGTAGTACATTTCTTGTGTATCAGTTGATACGAGCGAGTAAAAGAAGGCATCGTGTTCCTCTATCCCTGATCTCCCTCGAGGGCGCCCTTTTGCCCTGAGTATACGACCTAGTCGTTGTGCCTCTTGGCGCCTTGAACCAGCATGTGACGAAATTTGAATGATCACATTTGCCTCCGGAATGTCTATGGAATTATCCCCCACTTTTGAAAGAAAAACTGTGTTCACTTCTGGACTAGTTCTAAACGCCTCGAGTATTTTCATCCTCTCCGCGTGGCTGGTACCACCGTAGATCATAGGCTTCCGAAGTTTCATTGCGTACTCCATTAGTGCAAACAGGTTATCAGAAAACACAATAATCTTATCAGCACGCTGTTGCTCGTGGAACCTGATGAGAAACTCACAAGCCCTGAATTTATTCGGATTCATTACGTATAATGCCTGTCTCTTCCTTTGATTTTCCTGTTTCAAATACTCAGCAAAAAATTCCTTACTCATCGGACACCAAACCTCAGCACACTGCACATTAGCAATAAATCCTCCTTTTGCTAAATCAGACCAATTCGCCTCGTACAACTTGGGACCAATAAGGAAGTTCAAATCAGTAATCCGTTCGTCTTCCCTAACTAATGTTGCAGTAAGTCCAAGTTTGCAGTGAGATTTTGTGAGGCCGATGACTTTCCTGAACATTTGAGCAGGAACAACATGGACTTCATCTAAGAGAAGCAATCCCCATTCTCTCTTTCTTATTTCTTCAATTAGTTTCTCAGATTCTTCAGAACGTTTTCCTCCAAAAGCAATCATGTTATAAGTTGTCACAACTACTCCAGCAGCAATATCCCCACGAAATTGTTCTTTACTGTCACTAGTAAAACGGCATATCTGTTCATCTCGAATCGTTGACCATAACCGGAATTGATAAGCCCATTGATCAACAGACACTGCATTTGTAGCTAAACAAAGACAACTCTTCTTAATTCTAGTGGCTGCAGAAACACCAACCAATGACTTGCCCGCGCCACACGGAAGCACAATAATACCAGACCTAGCTCTACCATTCCCAAACATCTTACTAAGACTCTTCTCTTGATAAGGCCGCGGCTGCGCGTTAGCTTTCAACTCCATATCCAAGTCAGGATTTACAGTATCATTCCTGAAATCATACTCTTCCAACATTGGATAATTTAACGCATTTGGTAAGCAACGTTGCTTTACACTTTCAACTTGTGCAGGATCAATTTCGAACGAAAATCGCGTCTCTTTTTCTTCACTCATCAACTCTGGCAATAACCCTAAATCACTACTTGTAATTCTAGCTCGAGATATAACATCATCCATAAGCAACTTTTCCAACACTTCTATGTACGGGGATTCGATGAGGTAACGATTTTGCTTGAGTACTAATTTTACTTTACCGTAATTAGACGTGGAAGCTTGAATAAAATCAACAACTTCTTCGGGAAGTTTCGTTTTTGATAATTTGTTGAAGACAGAGATAATTGTATGAGTGTGAAGACCGACCGAAACGGCAGCGTATAGAGAGTGAGGTGTGAGGTTAAATTCATGAATTAATTGAGGGCGGGAAACAGGTTCAGCAATGGCGATAAGGAAATCAGAAGCTTGCTTGTAAAGCGGAGAGTATGTTTCCAGAAAAACACGACCGTCAGAGCAAACCCACAGCGGACGATTTTCGTGATCAGGTTTGAGCTCTAACTTTGTAAAATCTCTTATTAATTCTACTCCTTTATTGTCACTATTATAAATTTGGAGTTCAGAGTCGGAATCATTATCTCCATTTTCTTCTTCTTCTTCGTCGTCTTCTGGTTCTATAATTGTAGGCCTAATTGAGAATTTAATCTTCTTATTAGGACGATCCTTTTCTCCTACACCCATCTTTGTGATTTTGGCTTGAGTTTATCGGCTTAAATTTGTAAGGTTTGGTTCCCTTGTCTTCTTTTTTTTAGTTAAGTAAATTAGGCGGTTAGTATAGAGAGCGGGAATAGATAATGATGAACCGCCTTAATACTTCTCGAATACTTTGACTTAAGTCAATACAAGCAAAGCCACTGTGGAAGTTTTTCATTCAATTTCGCGAAAATAAGAACTGGAAGTTATTAACTAACAATTCTAATTCTTTATTTTTCTTCTTTTTTCTAAATATTACTGGAGGGGTAAGTAAAATTGGAGAACCTTGTCAGGTGAAATGAATCAATAAATGGACGAGTCATTATCCCATTTAAATATTTACTTCGGCTACAAAAGAAAATCGTATTATTTCAAATTCTAGAACCAAAATCCGATAATCTATCTCTAATGAGTACAATCTAACTACAACCCCAATACTACATATTGTTAATGATGAGTGAAAAGATCAATTTCTTCCTAAATAGGAAGACTAATTCGTACTTGGTACTTGGCCAACATTACCTGCTTTAGTGTCTCTCTGATAGTTCCTAACCATCTTTAAGTCCTTTGCTCTTCAAAACAATCAATCAACAAAATTTACACTATTGCCAACAGTGAAATTTTATACAGCAGAACTCGCCATGGTACCTAAAATTGTTCATTTTTCATTTCTATGGATACATACAGTGTGACAAACAGTGGCGGAGCCAGAATTTTTACCAAAGGGATTCGGAATACTAAAAAGTAAACACACGAACAAGCCAAGGGAATTCAACATGTACTATAATTTTAACCTTATATATACAGTAATTTTTCGGCGAGGGGTTAGGCTGAACCCCCTTCTGCCACCCTAGCTCTGCCCCTGGTGACCAACTAAATGGCATGAAGCTAAAAGCACTATATATAACAAAAGAAACTTTTTTTCTTTTTCTTTTTAGTTCTGGATGCCAAGTTCTTTCAATCCAGCAAACACGGCGAGTGTATACGCTGGTAACTGAGTCCTTACCCCAGTCCAGTAAAGTGAATTACTTAGACTGTCAGACATACAATAAACATTACTACTTTCTTATATTAAGTACAAAAGAACTGCAACTACAAATGCTTCGCATGATCCGTCTCATCAAAAATTTCCTCCTACACAAAAGACACAATTGGCAATTTAATACTCTTGGCACTGAAAACTTCACAGAAAGCACATTAAAATCTCAAATCTCGAGTGATTTTACCTGTAAAAGCTCTTCAATAACATCTTCCATAGTTATTATCCCTACTACCTCTTCCTCATCAGGGATATTTGGCAGATTTTCGTCTAATCGCAGAATGTCTGAGTGCATATCTTTTGACCACGTCCTCCTACTCCTATTTCTCTTGGACGAGGTGTTTCCACCATTGGGCAAACTCCTGCACTTCTGCAATGATCTACTCTTCAGGCTCTTCTCAGGCGGAGGCTTCTCAACATCAATGTCTACTCTGACATCCTGAACAGAATCTAGATATGGAAAACAAAAGGGAATATTGTTCACATGAGAAAAAGTTTACACGTACGAAGTAAAAAAACTACTAGCAAACAGAAGATGCTCACCATCAGCAACGGTTTGGCGAGCAGGCTGAACCATCTCGTTGTTGCACTGTTTTACAACCACAGCCATATGACTATGACCCTTCTGAAACTCATTCAAGATGTCATCCAATCGCATAGTATATGGGACCCTGCGCCATAAAAGAGGTAAGCCATGATCTGTTTATGAGGGATATATATCAAAGGCATTAAATCAACCGTCACAGGAAGTAAATATTTGCAACTCACCTAGTATTATCATCACCTTCCACTTCATTTGGTTACCCAAGAGAACACACACAACTAAACTACAAAAATATTGGTTGCAAGAGAAAGAAATACCTGATTGATGTTTATTAGATAACCATGTTTAAGCAATTTGGCTAGTTTGCATTCTCAGGATGAGCCACCTTATAACTAGCTAGGATTTCTTTCATCTAAAATTACGTTGAGCATTTAGGATAGTGTAATGGTATATCTCTAAGTGGCAAGCTGTCCAACTTGGGATACGTTGTCTTACCATTTTTACTAGGAACTGTTCATTCATAAGAATATTGGCAGTTTAGGTGCTTTACTTGTCTTGTCTAGCTGGGGATTTGTAGTTGCAGTTATTCCAATATTCATAGACTATTAAACTTCATTTAAAGAAGGAAGCATACCAAATTGAGACAACATATTAGAAAGACATGCTGAGACAAACATTTTCAAGACCTTAAAGCACTACAGGTTTGCCACTGATCATCAAGATATATAGACAGGGAGTGGCAACTAGAACTATGGATGTTGCTACGCGTGTATTTGTGCACCTCATCTTGTAAAAGGAGAAAATGAATAGACAGGGAGTAGCAACTAGAACTATGGATATTCTTTTGTACTTCTTAGTCACAACATTTAAATCGGATTTTCCAAATGGAAGAGACTGCAAATACAACTCATGAACTAGTATAACTACATCTTGGTGCAATACTTTCAAAGATAGTGCAACAATGCAGCCAAATACATGCATAGTATTTGCACATGAGAAATATATAAAATATACCTTGGGATCTTTCGGATAGTAACATTTTTTACAGGGGTTTCATCTTCTGGATGGATGGTCAATAAGTTCTTGACCTACAAGGTCACAGGAAAAGTATGTCAATAGAAAACTTTTACTCTATTACCAGAGAAATGGTACTATTTACTTGTGTTACCAAAGCAAATGGAATAATTAGCTTGTTTACTTGGTTGGGGCAAATCAAAATAAGAGAAATTGAAAAGACTAGGGTAAAAGTAGATGGCTCGCCGCCTAGTAAAGTTTAACCGCGCATCTTACTTCATGCTTGTAAGTACTTAAATTTAACCACTATTTGCCATAATCAGTTAAGACTATGATATCAGTTGTCTCAGCATTCCCGCATAATCTTCTGCATCGATGGTATTTGGAGTCTTTGGGATAAAAGACTATTTTCCTGTTATCTTAGGAAGTCCAGACGGTTCCATGAAGTTTTATATAGTGGTTTTTGGGTCATGAAAAAACAAATACTAACTCACTCCAAAGCAAAAGCAGCATGGGGAAATTGTGAATTGAAAAGTATGTGTAGATATTCTCTCGCACTTTTTAATAACTTAAGCAAAAATATGCTTTCAATTATGTTGAGTGCAAAACTTTCCAGGACTGCGGAAAAAAGAGAAGTACTACCAGAAGAAGTCCAATTATGTTTTTAGGTTGCTCATAGTAGACTGGTATCCTGCTATGCCCTTTCGCCAAAATTAAATTCGTCAAAACCCTGTACCAAAATGGAAAAAGATAAAAGAGTATGAAACAGCTAGTAAGGTTGGGACTCATGCAAATTTTCTCTATATGAGCATCTCAGAGTATGCAGTACCTGTCCAACTTCCCGTTAATATCAATAGAAAAGGTTTCAGATATGGGGGTCATAGCATCACCGGCTGTCTTATCGTGAAGCTCCAAAGCACCAGCAATTATAGTTGTCTCATCATTTGTTAGTTCTCCACCTTTACCAGCCTGTAGAAAGTAAAAAATGCAAGAGAGTCGAAGCCATAGGCAATCAGATCAAGATCTAATATCAAATATTTTGCATGCAACACATTTCCAACAGGAAATAAGAAGTGGAGACTCTAATATTCATCATTTAAAAAGAGCAATAAGTCAATGAAATGACACCAGAAACGGGGAACAGTTAGATTCAATCTAACAATAGCGGAGAGAAGCATTGGCAGAGCCACCTTAGGCTAAGGGGTGTCAATCTGACATCTCTTCGCCTGAAAATTGCAATGTGTAGCTAGGTCAAAAGTTTATTTTTAAGTAATACTCTATGTTGAATCCACTTAGATTCTTCGTGTGTTTACTTCTTTATTTTTTGACACCCCTTAGTGAAATTCCTGGCTCCTCCACCGGAGAGAAGCAAAAGCTAAAACCATATCTACAACACAATACACAATGTTTGGTTAGCCATTAAAAACCTACCTGATTTCCATGAAAATGTACTAAAGTTTTCAACTCAGCTCGTCGGAAAAGACCACTGTTTTGATGACCTAGCAGATAGTCCAATAGCTGCAATAATAGAAACTAAGGGGCTTAGGCCAACATTAGACAAACTAACTTGTAATACAATCAGCAGTTGGTTCAATACGCCAACATTGTAGTGGGTCTAATACAAAAGACCAGTTTCTATAAGCAAACAAAAGTTAACTAAATTCGTAAATAAAAAAAGTTCACCTTGCTTATTGGATATGCAATAGGAAAGCAGATCCAAACAAGAACGCGGACGACTGGGGCCATTGTTGCACCAATGGCCAGTCCATATCTAGAGCAAACGGATTGTGGAATGATCTGCTCAACCACAAAATAGTAACCAATCAGTGCAAGTAAATTCAACATCTGGTGAACTCATCAATCCTCAATGCAGATTACTCAGTAAAACAAAACGTCAAATTACAGCAACAAATTTTCTCTATTGTAGCACTTGTAGAAAAGATAATTTAATAGCACAGTAGCACTTATCTGAAGGGGGGAAGAAAAGAGTTTAAGACCAAAATTAGTAAAGTCTGATTAACCTAAGAAACTCTAACAATAACTAGTTTTAGTTATCTTAAAATAACACATGGATGGGACTTTTGTCATGCATATACATTCAAGTAGGTAAAGGGAAAGGAGGTCCACTCCCCATATAGTTGATTTTCATCTTAACCACACAGAAAAAGTAAGTTTCTCACCTCACCAAATAGAAGAATCAATGTGACAGAAATCAGTATAGCACCCCAAGCTGTTATTAGGCTGTCAAGAAAGATGGGAAGTGCCTGAAAGGATTTAGACGATCAGCGATTAAACGGATATCCAGCAAGTGCAAGAATTTGTGCCTCTAGAGATATAGTATCATTATGTTGCATACCTCCATAGCAGCAGCATTGCAGATAAGTAGGGTGCACAGCAATAAATGCTGATTTTGTACGACAGGCCAAAATCTTGGCTGTATAGATA